CATTTTACTCTGTAATTTTTCTCTCAACTTGTTTTGAAAGGTGATTATCAACATATGAAACTCTTACATCTGACATATCATCCCACTCTCTCAATTATTTTTCAAAGCCTAATCCAGCAAGAGTTTCAACTTCATTGTAACTACTATGCTCTATATTGTACGTAATCAATCCTAAACCTTATTAATGATTCATTCCAGAGAATGCTAGCAGAGTATTGCAGTTGCAAGACACTCAGGCTAACTGGTAGAGAAAAATGGAAAACTTTCTAGTAAATAGGTCTTCTTTTTTTAAGTCGGACCAATTATCTGGAAAAGACTCTCCTGGAAGGATTTCCTCCAGAAAGATCTTGCCTTTTGACATTCATGATACATGGGAGAAAGTGACGTGACATTTGAAGGGGTTGGGGGTTTATAAAACATAGTTTTACCTCATGTCACTTAATCAAGTATCATAATACGTTGCTAGCTTTATAACTCCTCGTAACTAGAATTAGTACTCTTAATAGATGGCATAGAGTTTCTAAGTGACTTTTTCCCTCACTTTCTGGTGCTGTGGGAGAGGGAGAGATTAAATCTTTTGCTTATTTTTCCTGTAAAAGTTCTCGATTTACATTTTGTAGGTTGATAGAAATGCCAAGCCACCTGTATGCAAAATTGTGGACTACAACAAAGAGAAGTACCAAGAGCAAGTAAAGGAAAAGGAGCGTTCTAAAAGCAAGGTAGGTTACTTTTTTCAATGCTTTGGTCCTTTGGATGTAGTTTTCTTGTAAATAATTTCCAGGTAAGAAATATGTAAGGACTTAGCTTTCCATGTTATCAAAAGATAGAGAACACTCTTATGTCTTTTTCACATTAGGTCGTAGTTCTGTTGGTGTAATTTTGAAACCTTAATGAGGTTTTCAGAAACTTCTATTCCTTTTTCCTTGTTAAAAAGGAAAAATTTTCACTAAAATTCTCCTGTTATTAGGAATGATATTTCCATATCGCGTTCATTGTGTAAGAGACATTCGGTCACAAATTTACAGAGCACGGGTGTGTGTGTCACATCCATAATCAAAGATTTGCATGTTTTGAGCATCTTTTAAAGATAATGAAATATTAAAATTGTTGTAATTTTATAAGGTCGGAAATTGCACCCGGATTATTGTGTCGTTTGCCTATTCAGTCTTTAGTCATATCATGGATCCCAACCTTGAGTGGTTGAAATATGTGACTAAGACGAGACCAACTCCTAGTACTCAATATGCTATCACAGAAGATTAACAGTAGCTTTTTCCATTGAAGGATGATTTCACCGTTATGTTTGATGAAATTTGCAAAAGTGATATGAATTTCTAATATTTAACAGCGAGATAAACTTGATTTTGTGGAGGAAAATGTGGATTTTTGAATGCATTACGTGTGTTGATTATTTAACTTGGTTGACTTAATTGATTACTGCAGTGTGAACTTAAGAAAGGTGCTTGCAAAGAAGTTCAGTTTGCTGCTAAACTTGTAAGTTTTTAGCTTAGTATTTGTCCTTTACATACCATGCCAGTTTTTAATTGTTGATTTGGAGTTGGAAAGTATGCATATGCATTTCCAAAAGTTTAAAAAATAATGCATCTCTCATGGGAACAGGATCTGAATAAAATCTCTCTTCATAAATTGATTACTTGTCTAATTTTTTTTTTCTTTAGCCTACTGGTGTCTGAACTTTATCATTGGGTGTACTTTACATGTAATTACTTACTTTTTTTGCTCATAGAAGAAAACGTTGAAAGTCACCTTGCTTTAAGAGAAAAATAAAGCTTCTTATAACTTATGATAGTTATATAAGATACTTTTGAACTATAATTTGACTGTTCAAAAGAATATGGCATTTACCTTTTTCTCCTACTCGTTTTGTTTGTTCCAGAAACAAAAAGATCTGCAGATGAAAGCACATACAGCTAAGAGACTAATGGAAAGTGGTCATCGAGTCAAGGTATTCTTATTTCGTCCTTATTCAGATGTAGAAAACATGCCTTGTTCTGTTACCGGAAGGAATATGAAATTCTTTTGATATTTTTCTAGCATGAGTGTCCATGTGTCAAGAAAAAAATAGAAACACTTGTGGACAAAGTGATCAAAACTTGTAATCAATTTTAGGACATCATTTAGCGGCGACGATCCATTTTATTGGCATTTAAATTTGTTATCATGTTGAAGAGTTTAAGTTGCTTCAAGAATCACTTAGATAGTTATCTTTGTCCTTTGTTAATGACTATAGAAAAATTTTGAGATCTGATTTTGAGAATTGTGCCAGGAAAATGTGATGCACTATATCATTGTCTCTTCATTCTATCATGGACAGAGAAATTAATTCATCTTTCTACTTCTGGTTTTTAAAATAGTGTACAGCCATTGAGCCTTCTGACGAATTGGACCTGGAAAGTTTACTATCTCGATTTTCTGCTTTGGTATGACTATAATTTAACTCATTGGAAAATCCTTTTACTTTCTGTATGCTTACAAATTGTTGCTTTACATCAGATTGAAGATGTTGCCATTGTGGAAAGTGAACCAAGAGTTGAGAAAAAACAGGCTTATGTGGTTGTTAGGCATGCCAAGTTTGGTCCATCTAAGAAAGGTTCCGGAAAGAAAGTTTCTAAAACTACTGAATTGACAAGCGACACTGCTCAAAAAGCTTGTGTCTCATCCCAAACTGTCAGACCTTCCAGTCGAAACCTGCAGTTGAAAGAAAATACGGATGCTGTGAAATCTGGATCAGAAACTGAGGAAGATATCACTCCTGAGAAATTGTCAGATGCAGATGTTGACAGCAATAAATCTGAATGGGCTGCTTTCAAGGGAGAGGATGGTTTCAACAAAGTTTTTGACATTGCGGATGATGCAAATGGATTTGCCAAGAGTTTAAGACATGAAAAAGTAACAGTACTCTCTTCAGCAGATGCAAGCTCTGGATCAGCTGTTGATTCTGCAAGAGCACATACAGCTTCATCCATGTCAACAGAGGTTCCAAAACCAGGGACTGAAAACAGATATGCCAGAGATCCAAGAAACAGGAATCCTTCGATGAGCCCTGGTACGAGAAACACAATTAACCATGTCCCCCAGTTTTCTAACCGTGTGAGGGAAATACAATTTAATAAGAATATGCCCCCTCAAGCACAACAAACTTTGCGAGTAGAAACTCCTGTAAATAAGGACCGCAATCAAGAGAACTAGGTGTTCCCAAATCGACAGCCAAAAGTTATGGTATTTTTAGTGCTCAACAAGTTGATAGCACCTGCAGCGAACAGAATACACCAGCGCAGGTCAATAAATATGGGAATAGAAATCCTTCTGATTCTGCAAGAAGTCCTAGCACAATAGGGGTCTCTCATAGAAATTTTCCTATTTCAGATGCGAGAACTAGCAGAGGTCCAGGTGTTGAGAGAACTCAAATGGGATCTCGAACACGTTGAACTAAAACCGAGTAGAAGCCCAAGGCTAGTGTATCAAGTTATTCGTGTTTTTCCTTGATTGACCGGCCTAGACTTCTACTAGTAATAAGGAGATAAGACCTTGTACAACTATATTAGATACAGTCTTCTCTCCAGTAAGTGACTAAGTGCAGTGAAGGACTAAAGGCATTATCGAAGCCTAGTGACGCCCATGATTTTGGAAGGTATTCAACTTGTGATGCTATAGTTTTAGTTGACTTCTTTAGGTATTTATGTATTGAATTTCCCCTTTCAGTGGGTAACTAATTTTTATACCTATAGAAATAAAAAAATTAGTCCGTACGCAATGCTGGAAGTAAATTGAAGGCGTGAGCTAAAGCCTAAAATAGATGGATAATGCCGTTTGTACAATTTTTTTTTTTAGCCAAAAAGTGTTGATTGGAAAGATAAATTATTTTTTAAACTGTCCAATGACAACATGTGGACCAAGCGTGGTTGAAAATAGATTGCAAGAACATTTGGAAATGATGCTAACGACGTAGCAGCTATGAGGGCTTTAGTGAAAGTTAGTGGTGCTCTAGTATTCTGGACAATGTGTATTATTGCTCGTGTTGATTCTATTTATTCTAAAAATTTCACACTGTTTATGTTGACAACGAGTATGGTATTATGAAATTATTATCAAAGTTTTTTCGCACGTGGTTTGTGTCTAATTGGTTTTTCAATTCGCTTTATGAGTCTCATTTAGTGCATCATGTTTTTTGAATTTTGATTTCCCAAATAATCGTCTTTCCTTTTTTTATTCGATTTGTATTGAAGATAATACTGTCTCATGAAGTATTTTCTTGTAATATCATTGATGGAGTCTTCAGAAAAATTTAGCCCCACTGTTTGCAATTTACCAAATGTTTAGTTAATGCCATGTTCAGTTCCAACTCGAGTACCATGGATGGAGATATTAGCTTTGTGTGCATTTCTTTGTACAGTTGTGTATTTTAGAAGCTTCGTACTGTAATCTTTCTTCTGGCCTGGCTATCCACCGGAGGAATTATCACTTACAATAACAGCAAGACAATGGTGAAGTTGAACCATAAACCGGCCAACCTTCGTCTTCGTTTATTGCCCACCACCAACTACAATCATGTTTTGACAAATTAATCTTGTACTATTGTTGTCCAAAATTCTATCAACAAATTTGTCTTAGATTTTGTAATTTTGTCCCATTAACTATTGCTAAATCCGCACATAACTATTGTCTTTAAACGTTAATAGTGATATAAACCGGCCTTGTTAAGTCCTTGCTTCCACATAATAAGAGAGAAGGCATTTGAAGAAGTGCAGTTCACATAGCTCCCGATTTTCTAAAGATGAATAAAGTTAAGAATAAAAAATATAATAATGTCCCCATTCATGGCACAAGGGCACCTCACTCCATTCAGCAACATAAGCCCTAGTCTAATCCTAAATGACCCACTCTACACTTGTCTAGTGAATGAATTAATCCGCGTGGTTTAAATCTCTAGGTTCTATTTTATTTTATTTTCTTTATAGGGCATTTATTCATTTTTTTTTTTCTTTTTCCCTTCATGGGAGTTGATTGTGTGAAATTTCACATTGGTGCTTAAAGTATTCCTCATTTAGTCATTGAAGTTGAATAATATTACATATTGTGTCGCTTTTCTTGTGAAAGTAACATCGAGGTCGACGTGATGCTTGTTAAATGTTATGGTGGACTAAAGATGTTAATTAATAATTAATTTTAATATCTTGGAATAATACATTGATTGTTATAATTTTTTAAATTCATTCTAAGCCTATTTTAATCCTAAATCAATCATCCATTTTTTCTTATTATTTTAGGTTGTATTGGATTATATTTTCATATCTATATGATTTTTACATTTTAGTACATTTATATATTGATTGAAGCTTTTTTAATAGTATTTAATTAAAATATTAATAAATGATCGTGCTATTGTGGTCATCGACGGTCGACGATCAACGATTAGTGACCGCTCTAGCTCACCAATATTCATGAATCCGCCAACAATGCAATTGTACAATTGTAGCAACCAACCAAACATCTCAAGTTATATAGGGTGTAGAATAGATTCTTTAACCATCTTATTACAAGAATTCTAGTTATATTTGCTATTTATGAATAGTTTAAGACTGAGAATTCTGACACAATCATATCTCAAAACACCATGTGTACATAAAGACAACTGCTTTTCATTTTCTATGAAATTGTTTCCTTTTTTTTCCAAACATTTTGTATACATGTACATATAGCAAAGTCCGTGTTTTAACAATCATGCTACATGTACAGGACTTTTTGCCAAATAATTTGACAGATTACTAGTTGGCACAATTTCATTAAATGTTGGACAAAAAATAACTTCAAACCAATCATTCCGCCTGTAGTTTACCAATTATTCTTTTATTCTCGTTCTTCCTGTTTGTTTTAATTCTTTTCTCACTCCTTTACTTATCTTTCCGCAATATTGAATATGAATCGAGGCTGTTATATTTTGTTCCCTGTTAGGATTTGCGTTTTATTAGATGCTGTTTGTAGGTATATATGGTGTTTGAGTTGATTTGTGCTATTGCCTATTGGTAATTGAATTCGGTTGTTTTTGTTGGAAGTTTCAAATTTTTGGAGTTTATTATTATTGCTACACGAGACTTCAACTGTTCATTTTTAATGTGTATAGGGGATGTCATGTAACATTAGATACATTTTGGAAAATATATGCACACACTTGTGTTCTGATAATAATAAATATGATGCATATAAGTTGGGGATCCGCTTCTTTTTTTCCGAAAAGAAGAAAGAAAATGGTTAAGAAAGTGGAGATATTTGGTGAGTGGGTGAGTAGGGGTATGTTGAACTGTATTCTACTCCTATAGGGATAGGGTTAGATGCTTAAAGAGAAAAGCGGCTATTTGCCGACTAGTGAGGTAAACAGAGGGAAAAATACAAGGGGAATTAGAAAAAGAAGGAAAGCGAAGTTGACAATGAGGAGTGATGAGAAGAAGATCAAACGGCATGAATGAGTAGATCAGAGAAATGATTTGATTGTTGTTATTAAGAATTCACCTGCTCCAAGGTTTGTTTATAGTCCCTTTTGTTGCTTAGTTTGTCGAAATCTCGAATTATGCATGTCATGCATTAAAAGTGAAACAAATATTTTGTGATTGGCAATATGTCCCTCTCATGCTTTATTGATGACTTGAAAAAAGTTTGCTAAGCTTGAGCTTGTGATGAAAATTTTGGTTTTATTGATTCTGTTAACTTAAGATCTTTGTGTGAAAATACTCAACTAAGAGGCATTACTATCGGACATTTTTGGTACTTTTTGTTGTTTTGTTGTTTTTTGTTTTCAAGTTAAATGTATTGTGTTCAATATGCTGGGAAGCACCGACACGTTGTCGGCGTCTACGTATCGGTGTCCGACACGTATCACTTAAGATCTTTGTGTGAAAATACTCAACTAAGAGGCATTACTATCGGACATTTTTGGTACTTTTTGTTGTTTTGTTGTTTTCAAGTTAAATGTATTGTGTTCAATATGCTGGGAAGCACCGACACGTTGTCAGCATCTACGTATCGGTGTCCAACACGTATCAGACACCGATACATCTCGATACGTTGCCGACGCGTGTTGGAGACGAAGAAATGCATACAGGTGGAAGAAACAGTAAGCAAAACATATGGCTGGAAGAAAAGAAGAGGTGTGACGGCTGCTGCGTTGAAAAAGAGATGCAGTGGTGGCTGGAATTGGAAGAAAGGCTGAGGAGGCAGAGACGGGTTGTGAGGAAGAAAAGAAACGGCTGTCTGCTGAGGAAGAAAAGAAAAGTCGAAAGAAGTAAACCCTAAATATAATTTTCAACTCTAATTGAGCCCAAAATTTTAAAGGCTCTTTAAATAAGCCCAAAACAATAAATACTTTATAAATGATAAGACTTTTTCTATAGCTTTATCCTTTAACAAAGTAAAAGGTAAATTTTTATATAGATCAAATTTTTTACCATTTAATTTATCATTTTATCCCAATAAAAAATCAAATTCTAATTCTAATTGTTATTTAATTATTTGTATATATGATGTAATAAGTATAAAATTATTATTATTTTAGACTATTAAATTTTTTTAAAAAATAAAAGAATAATATTTTAATCAACGTGTCGACGGCGTATCGTGTCGGAACTTTTTCAAAATATCGCATGTCGGCATATCGTGTCGGTGTCGGATACTCGTATCTGTGTTGGTCGTATTATAGTTTGGTTTGGTTTTCATGCATGCGACATAAAACTTTGGCAAGTTTTATTGATCCATAAAAGAAACCATCATTCTATAAAACCCCAAAACGATGTCATTTGCGTAGGATTTTTATTCTCGTTTGGCTTCATTTTCTACCATTTTTTCGATTTTAACCCTAACAACTGCTCTCGATAACCTTGTCCCTTCTACTACAATATGCTACTTTTCCTCTTATTATCCTTATATCGTCTACAGTAACATTCAATTTGTGATTATTTTAGTTTTCTTTTCCCTGTTTCAACTCATGGATTATGCTTTGTTGTTTTAAGGTAGTACAATCATGCTACATGTATATAATCATTCACACAATCTTTTATACCCCCTCACATGGAGGAGGGTCCCACACACAATAAAATATTCGTCCACACTATTCATGTAAGACAGGTGTACGTACACCTGGTGTATAAACAGTTTTATCCAAGGTAGTAACATTCAATTCGTGATTATTTTAGTTTTCTTTTCCCTGTTTCAACTCATGGATTATGCTTTGTTGTTTCAAGGTTTCTATTATGCTCATTTTGAGTTTTGTCATAGAGTTCATACAACTTTTCTTTTTATAAATGGTCAAAGTCTCTGTAGACTGTGTTCTTCGTGGCTTCAATTTATTTCCTTTGGTCTCATAAGTTCGCACTTTATGTTCATGGCATTTTTAACATTCTTCTATTTCCTTATCTGTTGTGTGATCTTGTTCAGAATTCCCAATGGAACTTTCATAGATAAAGTTCTTGTGTGAATGGGAAGAAATTCTAACGGGTTTCTGATTTTATGATTTTATTCATATAGGATTTGACTGTTGTGTGTTTTCTTGCATTCAATTTTCGATTTGGATTTGGATTCAATTTAGATCTTCCATTAAAACTTTCCTGCATGTAACAATCAATACTATAAAAGATTTATAGCTACCAATAAATTTCAACCTCATAACAAAATTTTGTAAAAAGACGAAAATGTTACTGATTGGCATGAAGGAGGGCAGCCAGATCGAGATAGGACTCTGGGTTCCACAAGTCGCTCGGACATGATGTGCTACTGCAGGCACACAAAATGCACTCATAGATACCATTTAGCTCATTCATATCCTCTTTGCCTTGCAAAATCTTCTTCCTTGGAGTTTGCGGTGGGTTCTTCCTCTTTAGCCACGGCTCACACGACTTATACTGGTTGTAAAAATTGGTTATATCCACCACAAGATTCTTTAAAACAAACATGTGAGGCAAGGGAGCAGGGGCGGATTTAAGCACATGTTGGCCCGAGCTATAGCCCGTGCAAGCACTAACCCAGATCTACTAACTACCCTTTTCCCCTTTTTTTTGAAAGAAAATAAAATATTAGAGAAATATGCCAACCAAATCAAAATAAAAGTAAAACGTACTACAGAAACAAACAAGTAATCCTCTACCTAGTCAACTAGTCAATTCGTCTACGATTACCAGATTATCTACAATACATACAAAATATAAAAGAGGAGATTTCTTTACTAGTCATAAGGCGTCATCTTGACATAATGTTGACGCCATATATGTTTATATCAATTTTGTCATTTTTTTTAAATCTCTATCAGTCTAGACACTTCTTCCTTCTTCCTTTCTCTTTATCGTTTTTCATTCTTGCGATTTTAGATTTGATTTTCCAAATTAAAACTCAAACAAAATCACACAACATTTCCTCAATTTCAAATTCAATAATAGGTTGTAAAATAACAGAGGTTTTGTTCTTTTCTAACGTTGTTACCTCTTCCTGTTTCTCTCTATCGTTTCTCATTTCTGAGATTTCAGATCTTCTTTTTTAGAGAAAAGACCCTAACAAAATCACATAAAATCTCCTCCATTTCAAATCCAATAATAGGTTGTAAAATCACAAAGGTTTTTTCTTCTCTATCGCTGCTGCCACGGCTCGCACTTTGCCTTCAAATCGGAGATTTAGACGGCAACGACGGAGTAAACAGAGTACTAGAGGAAGAAGTTTTAGTATGTGGATTTTCTCCCGTTTTCCTCTCTTTCAGCAAAATGTCCTTAATTTTTGCTTCCTTTTTGTGTTTGAGTGCATTTTCGTATGTAGGTTTTCTCGATTTTCCCTCAGTTTTAGCAAAAACTTCATAAAATATAAATATTGGATATTAGAGGGTAAGAAGTCTCTATTTCTAAAATTGAATCGCAATCACCCAAATGGAATTTCAACTTTTTGGCTGTAGACTATCAGTGATAGGAAATTTGTGATCCACAATTTACATTTTGTATTCCGTTTATATTTTTCTTGTTGTTGTCACCATATTTTGTTTTCTTCACGTCAATGGTAGCAAAATTCTTAAATAGTTGGTTAATTATTTAATTTTCCTTTAGAACTTTCGTTCCGCTTATAAAAAATCCAGAGATTTAACCGTGAAACATTTTCTATTTGCACCGATTTCGTCTATTTGTTTGTAATCTTGGTGGCTAGTTGTGTAGCTTCGTTTTCTTTTAGATTTTTTTTTTCATGCTTTGTGTTTCTCTGTGGCTAGATGCCCTTTGTGGAGAACGGTAAATCCTAATGAAAATAGTAAAAGCAATTTTTTTTTTGTATGTTTGCTTTCTTGGGTCGTATTGTGTCTGTCGTGCTTTTTATCTTTAGTTTTCTTTATTTTTATTTCTAATATTTGGCTCCCTAAGATGAATTTCTAATCGCTGGCTCTGCTCGTTTCATCAATTCCCTGTTCACAATAAAAAAAAATTATTGTTGCAGCCGTGAGGTTTATTTACATGTTCTTTCATTTTTGTTGCTAGAATTGGTTATCTCGGATAAAGGTCAGCTACTCTAATATATTTGTTTTTGTTTTTGTTTTGTCGTTTTCAGCTTCCCTTTTACAAAGTAATAATGTGAGAATTATGTTGATTCATTCAAGTATGAATAATTTTATTATTTAACATCCTTCGGACGAGGCAGTGAATCTCTGCTATCACAACCGCCTTTAATTCCTCCCACCTAACACTCACACTGGAGTTTGGTTGTTTTCATTTACTATTGAGTTAATGTTCTCTTAATTTCAGGTCAATCAAGCTAAAAACTTTTAAGAGCTGTGTGTAATTTTAGATTTTTTTTTTTTTTATTATAGATGCCTCCTATGATGTTTAATTTAGTTTCATGTGAACTTTTATACTTCGTTGTGTGCTTATTCAAATTAAGATGAATTTAGTTATAGGAAAATTACCAAAAACCAGGCCTTTAGTTTGAGTTTTTAAAAAAAATCAGGTTTTCACTTTATTTTTCCACTTTTCACGTTTTTATCATTTTAATTTATCCCAACCCTAGATCTATCTATTTCTCTCCCNTCAGGTTTTCACTTTATTTTTCCATTTTTTAGGTTTTTATTATTTTAATAAATTAAAACATTAAATCTATTCAAACCCTAAATCTATCAATTTATCTCCATCCTCTCACTCTCTCCACACGCTGCCTGCTCCATTTCTCTCCTCCCACCACAACCGCCTGCCGCCTCCTCCCACCACCACCACCACCACCACCGACCGCCGCCTCCTACTCTTCCCCTCCCTGTCGGCGTCGCCTCCTTCCCTTCTCCCTCCCTGCCTCCTCCTCCCACCACTACCGTTCGCCGTCCCTTCCCTTCCCCTGCTGCGATTAGCAGCGTCATGTTTGCTGATCGCCAGTAGTGCAACGCTGCTGCGACTCACAGTAAAAGCAGTACAATAGTAATAAATAAAACTACCTGAATCTCAGGTTCAGCCACAACAAATTTCTTCAGCATGCGATTTCCAAAAGCACGGGACATGGCCAAGACACCCCCAACCCTCCAAGTGCCTGATACAAAAGCAATAAATAAAAAGTCAATCAGCTACCTAGAAGCACACAATTTTTATCCAAGACAATTTCCAAATGTTAGTTGATAGTTCTTGCACAAAGATTTTATTTCACTTTGCTCAACATCTACTCAGAAAATGACAAGTTGGGAAGACCAGTGCCCAATATCTCAAACCAACTGTCAATGTCCAATATCTTAAACCTCTCAAACAATTTTATTAACCATTTTTTCCAAACGACCCAATAATCTATTCTTCTCACACAGCAATTTCAAAATGTTTTGGAAGGAAGCACAAATTTATTTTGGGATTGGGGGACGAAGAGTTTATGTGACCAACTATTTGGTCGATCTGTGATCAAGTATTGGTGGTGTTTTAGGATTGGAAGGACAGGTGTTTGGGTGTATATGACCAACTATATCAATATGTGACCAAGTATTGGTGGTGTAGTGGGATTGGGAGACAGGGGGTTTGGGTGTATATGACCAACTATATAGTTATCTTTGGCTAACTATTTAACTGTGAACTTAAAATTTTGTTAATCTGTGACCAAAAATATAATCTGTGACCAACAAATTTTCTTAACTTGTGACCAATTAAAAATCTGTGACCTATAAATTTTTTTTCATTTGTGACCTCAAAATAATTTGTGACCATTAATTTGATAAGTTGTGACGGAAAATTAAATTTTTAACTACTTAATAAGATATTTGTGACCTTCGAATCGGAGCAGTTATCAGAATTAAGTGACGGACAATGGTCACCGAAAATTAGTCGCCGGAGAACAGTCGCTGGAGCAGTGGAGGTGGAGGTAGGGTGGAGTGGGGTGGGTCAATTATATTATATTACAATTAAATATTTAATTTAATAGATTAATTGTAAAATATAACTAATTAATTCATGGAAAAACCTGAATTTTGTAAATTTAAACCTTGGGGCCTGATTTTTGATTTCGTGAAAGATAATTCCTGACCCATGAATTTTTCCCTTTAGTTATGTTGTTGTTGTTGGCTTTTTTTTTAAGTGGTAATTACACGAAACCATACTTTAAGTTTTTAAACTTCTAAAATCAGATTGGAAGTTTAAAATTACCAAAATTAGAAATTTTGGTATATTAATTATATTAAAAAAAATAATAACTGTTTCCTTATTTTACGTCTTTGAATATATGGAAATTCTCCACGTTCATTCTATAATCTCTCCCCACGTTCATTCACGTCGACATTCACAGCCTCATTGAAGCCCTAACCTCCCATCTAATAACGTTCATTCCCCGGCGAAATCGCGGCAACCATCCTCCACAATCGAACTTACTTACATTAAATAGTGTGCATTCCCTTGCTAAATCGCGGCGCAACTTCCATAGAAGTCCCTATCAAACAACACACGGTAAAATTTTAAAGAATGACTCGTGCAAGCAGTGGAAAGCGAGGGGAGAAAGTTGGAAGCCATGATTCAGATACAAGAGGTAAACGGAAAGTTGAAGAAATGCAAAAAGATTCCCCCTCTAAAAGACAAAAAACCACGCAGTCGATCACAACTCAGTTCGCGAAGAAGATGTGTTTTCAATCTTTCAATTTTTCATTCATTTCAAGCGATGGGTAATGTGTATGGATGAAGTATTTGGAATTTGTGGGGATAAATTGCATTCAATATATGTTATGTAATTGCAATTGAAATGCTGGAATCATTAAGTGGTTTTAATTGTTATTTTGTAATGTAGTTGTTCAGCTGTGACTTGTGTAAGGGGATTTGCGTTGTTTTCTAAGTGAGTTGTTTAGTTTTGATCCGTGGGAGGGGACTTGTGACCTAACTGTTGTTGTTGTTATTACCTGCCATACCATCTATGACCAATTCATGAGTTTTTGTGAACAAATTGCAGGCCTGGAGATTTTCTATACCTGAGAANACCTAACTGTTGTTGTTGTTATTACCTGCCATTCCATCTATTACCAATTCATGTGTTTTTGTGAGCAATTTGCAGGCCTGGAGATTTTCTATACCTGAGAAGAAATGGTTTCATGGAAAAATTACAATTACCCCCATGAAAGGCGTGCTAACCATTTTCAAGACGAACCTAAATGAAGCCCAACGTCGAATACTACAAAATACGTGTTTTTCCCACTTCCTGGAATTAAGGATGACAACGAGGCCGGGCGGGGGCTGGGGGCCCTCCCCGCCCCCAGCCCCATCCCCGTTTAAGTCGGGTCGGGTCGGG